TCAGGTACATGAGGCAACCCACCAGCTCTGCGTAGGGACCACTGGGCTCTGCCGACTCCTCAGGAACAGGAGCGGAGAGCCTATGGTCTAGAGGTAGAGGAGTAGGCTGTGTGGAGGAGAACTAAAGGCCGAACCTCTGAAGGACCTGGCGCACCAAGTGTGACTGAGTCAAAGTGATGGTGCGCGCTGCTCTGTCCCTGGAGATCTGCAAGCCAAGGTAGTGGCGCAATTCTCCAAGGTCTGTGCAGGTGTGTCTCTTCAGCAACTCTACCTTCACGGAGGCCAGTACGTCCCTGTCTGCCGTGGCGAAGACCAGGTTGTCTACGTAAACAAGGATGTAGAACGGGGTCTGGCCAGCACGAACGAAGAGCGAGGGGTCTGCAGACGATGGAAAGAGCTGTAGGTCAGCAAGCGTAGCATGCAACGTGTCGTGCCACTCACGGGGAGCCTGCCGCAGGCCGTAGACGGGGCGCCGGAGGAGCCACTGGGTCCCAGGAGGGAAGGTACCAGTGAAGCCCTGAGGGCGGCGCAGGTAGACCTGCTCGTGTAGACTGCCCTGAAGAAAGGCAGTGGAGAAGTCGAGGGAGTGAAGCTCGTAGTCACGCTGAGCTGCTACGTGTAGCAGCACCCGAAGAGTAGTCATCTTCGGGGTCAGAGCGAAGGTCTGGAAGAAGTCCACCCCCTCACGCTGACTGAAACCTCTAGCCACGTAGTGCGCCTTGAACACAGGCGGCTCTCCAGGAGGGCGCTTCACCTTGAAGAGCCAGCGGCCATCGACAACGTTCACCCCAGGTGGGGGAACTGCGTCGACGTAGGTGCCGGTGGATCTCCAAGATGCCATCTCCTGCTCCATGGCAGCTATCCACTGAGAGGCCCAGGGTCCAGAGACAGCCTCAGCGTAAGTGCGAGGGGTCGGGATGTCGAAAGCGTCGGGGTCACCCTCAGGGACTAGAAGCATAGAGCAGAGATGGGGAGCAGCCTGGGACAGGAAAGCAAGTTCGCACTGGCGGTCCTCCAGGACGTCACTGCCGAGGGCAGGAGCACCCCCGACAGACGGAGGACAAGCAGGGTCAGAGACGAGAGCGGTGGCATAGTCAAGGCGGCGGATAGAGGCGAAGTCAGCAACCACAGCTACAAGGGCGTCAAGACTCAAAACCGGGACAGACGTGTTGGGAACGAGAGAGGCAAGGATCCGAGGAACAAGAGGACGAGCAGCACGCAGGTAGTCAGACAAAGGGGGGGGAGCAACGACAAGGGAGGGTGGAGGCGGCAACGGGAGAAGGGTAGGACGAGACGCGTGGGAACGAAGCAACATAGGGTGAGAGCGCGAGACAGGGGAGACAGGTCGAGCACGGGAGGGACGGCGAGACCAGACGTGAGACGGAGGCGTCGGGTCAGGAGACAAAGGAGGGGACACAGGAGGGGAACGAGGGGGGAAACGGGACGGAGACGAGTCCGGAGGAGGGAACACATGGCCCTAGACAGGAGGAGGAGAAGGCACGGTCACGGGGTCTGGGGAGGGAAGGCCGAGAAGGCGAAGAGCGGACACCGGCGGGGACTGTTGCAGCGGCGGTGTGACACCGACACCAGGACCGCAAGCGGCCTGGCGGCTACCTCCAGAACACTCCACGCCAGCACCCCCAGAAGGAACACCCCCAGAGCTCAAAACCCCTCCGGCCCCGGTACCACCCGCAGGCCTGCCGGGACAAGCCACGACAGTAGGCCCAAGACTGGTACCCACCCGAACTCCAGCACCCCCAGAGGCAACGAACTGCTGCGGCGACGGCTGCGGCGGCGGCGGCTGCAACGGCGGCTGTGGCGGCAGCTGCGGCGGCGGCGGCGGCGGCGGTGACGACAGCTGCGACAGCAGTGGCGACGGCGGCCGCGGAGGCGGTGGAGGAGGAGACACCTGAGGAGGGACAGACGGCAAGGACTGCGCCGCAGGACCACCAGAGTCAGCAGACTCCTCAACCGGGTCAACTGACGTAAGGGGGGTGATGTGGGACTCACCAGAGGGGGCAGGACGGGGAGGGGGAGGGGCAGGGACTAGCGAGGAAGGGATGACCAGGAACAAGGGGGGGGTAACCGGGGGGCCTCGGTGGGGGAAACGGCGGTAGAAGGAGACAGACTCGTCAAATGTGACGTCACGGGAGTGAAAGAACTGGTGAGACAGCGGGTGTTAGAAGTACCAGTCAGACGCGTCAAGGGGGAAACCGAGGAAGACACAGGGAAGGGTGCGGGCAGTGAACTTGTCCGTGCCAGAGGCACGAACGTGAGCAAGGCAGCCCCAGACGTGGAACGCAGACACATCACCAGGTAACCCATACCAAAGAAGGGTCGGCGAAACCTGCGGCTGCAGGGGGTGCGGCCACATGGTAAGCTGGTGAGTGGCGTAGCGAACGGAAACAGCGGACGGAGGTGTGACCGATCTTACCGTAAACGAAGCCACGGCGAGGACCAGTCTGGAGCAGGTACTTACAGCACGCGTCACCCGAACCACCACCCGGCAGCCCACCACGCGCACCACCACCACGTCCAGCGCTACCACCAGCGCCAGGCCACCTGGGCGGGAGACCACTCACCCGTCTCTGCTGCTCCTGCGGCTGCTGCAGCGGACGCGAGTCCGGCTGCAACACCGGCGGCTGCTGAGACGGCTGCTCAGCTGCACTTGTCAGTGTCCCCTCGTCCGCACCACCACAAGGAGACCCAGCTCCAGCACCGCCTACACCTGCACCCCCACCCCCGCCGCCACGCCCAGCCTTGGGGCGGCGACCCTTCCCCGGACGGACCTGTGCAGTGGCAGTCTCAGCCACAGCAGCAGAACCGTCGGAGAAGGTGCACTGAGCGGGGGCGCAACCCTGAAAGATAGGGACCGGCACAGTACCGCTGGTCTTAGCGATAGAGCGGTGGCGAGCCTCTATAGCGGACAGGGTGTCAACAAAGTCAGTGAGGGTGAGGTCTGCGGGGTGGACACTAAGGAAGTGGTCACGGGCAGTGGCAAGACGGTCATGGAGGCGGGTGGCGAGCAGGTAGAGAGTAGAGGTACGGGGCGGCTGGTGGGCGAGAAGCTGTGTGGTAGTGCAGGCAGCACGCCATGTCTCATCTATAGTGCGCAGGTGAGCGGCCATGTCAGCGACAATGGGGAACGACGCAAGGTCAGGGAAGAGCATGGGGAGGATCAGACGACCTACCGAGGCAGCAGGCGGGGTGGAATAGCGCTGGACAACAGCATCTAGGAAAGCCTGGGCAGTGGTGATAGACCGGAAGCGAGGTCGCTCGGACAGGGGGAGGGCATTGCTAATGGCAAGCTGTGCAACAGTGTCACGGGACAGCCAGACGGAGCGAGCAAGGGCAGCGGCTGCAGCGGACTCACGCTCAGTGGACGAGGGGTCAGTAGACAGTGCAGCGGGGGGGTCAGGGCAGGGGAGGGTACCGTCAAGATCGACAGACAGCGAGTGGCCATCCTGCCGCTGACCAGTGAGGTGGCGACGGAGGTCAGCAAGCCATGCATCAAACTCAATCGGCTGGCCCTCAACGTCAAAGCGAAGCACCTCTGCCATCAGTGACAAGAGAGGACAGTGTAGAGCGGTGCAGGACGGTGCAGTGATGTGCTGTGCAGCACAGTGCGGCACAGTGCGGTGCAGTGCAGTGCAGTGCGGTGCAGGGCGGTGCAGTGTGAGACAGTGCGGTGCAATACGGTGCAGTGCGGTACAGTGCGGTGCAGTGCGGTGGAGTGCGGTACAGTGCAATGCAGTGCAGTGCAAAGCGGTGTAGTGTGGTACAAAGCTGTGCAGTACGGTACCGGGGGGGTCGCAGGGCGGTGCTGATCGGGAAGAACGGGCCGAACCCGAGGCGGCGACGGGCTGGCGACGACGCGAATGCAGGGGCTGGCCGACGAGCGACGGACGCGAGAGGCCAGCAAACGGCGGCAACGGGGGCCGGCTAGGAGCTGGCGCGATGGCGAGGAGAGCCGGCCGCGACAGCGGCCAGGGACAGCCGCGACAGCGGCTAGGGGCGACCGCAACGGCAGGACCGACGGCGGCGGCTGGAGCCGGCAGCGACGGCGGCTAGGGGCGGCTGGAGACGGCAGCGACGGCGGCTAGGGGCGGGCGCGACGGCTAGGGGCGGCCGTGGGACGGCGGGAAACGGCCACGACGGCGAGGGAGTCGGCTAGGGGCGGGCGCAAACGGCCAGGGGGCCGGCGAGAAGCGGGCGCGAAACGGCCAGGGCGCCGGCTAGAAGGGGCTCGTTGGCCAGGGGGCCGGCTAGAAGCGGGCGCGACGGCCAGGGGGCCAGCTAGGGGAGGGCGCGAACGGCCAGGGGGCCGGCTAGGGGCGGGCGTGACGGCCAGGGGGCCGGCTATGGACGGGCGCGAACGGCCAGGGGGCCAGCTAGGGACTGGCGCGACGGCCAGGGGGCCGGCTAGGGACGGGCGCGAACGGCCAGGGTGCCGGCTAGGGACGGGCGCGAACGGCCAGGGGGCCGGCTAGGGACGGGCGCGACGGCCAGGGGGGTGGCTAGGGACGGGCGCGAACGGCCAGGGGGCCAGCTAGGGACTGGCGCGACGGCCAGGGGGCCGGCTAGGGACGGTCGCGACGGCCAGGGGGCCGGCTAGGGTCGGGCGCGACGGCCAGGGGGCCGGTTAGGGACGGGCGCGAACGGCCAGGGGGCCGGCTAGGGACGGGCGTGACGGCCAGGGGGGCCGGCTAGGGTCGGGCGCGACGGCCAGGGGACCGGCTAGGGACGGGCGCGAATGGCCAGGGGGCCAGCTAGGGGCGGGCGCGTATGGCCAGGGGGCCGGCTAGGGACGGGCGCGACGGCCAGGGGGCCGGCTAGGAGCGGGGCAAGACCGTGGCTAGGGCCTAGGGGCGGAAGCGTGGGCGGGCTAGGGGGGGAACCTAACCTACTATGATACCATATCAGAATGAATAATGACTAGAATGGGGAGATACAAGGCAATATAGATTGGTGAATTGTACTCACTAAGGCACAGACACATATGGTCTACTGTAACTGCATAAGTTATGTTTGACACATACGGTTACCCTAGCAGTAGTGGAAAAAATGAATGGCAGCACACATCTACACACTGCAAAATTCTGGTGTTTCCTGCTAAAAATGGAGATTCTAGGTGGCAGGGGGGTGTTCAAAAGTTTTCACGTCCGAGAGTAGGGTGTTGTGTATATCCAGAAAAAAAATAAGCACCCATACCCGCTCAAGCTACCCGGGGGAGCTTAATTCCGGCGGGTGTTTTATACGGGGGAATACGGTAGTAGGAATTGCTTTCTCCCTTAACAGCACCACAGTCTGGAATGGAATGAACAAGACTCGCTTGTGCCGTGGGAGATCTGTTGTTACCTCATGCCCTGCCTTGCCGGCACGGCCTCATACAGCAGAATGCTGGCCTCTGCACACAGCACGTCCACCTGGGCCACCTCCCTTACATGCTCGTCCGACACACTGAACCACCGCACATCCCCTTCTCCCCTCGCACCGACCTCCTTCCCGCTACCATCTGCCCTCCTGCTGCGTCCACCATCACCACTGTCCTCCGCCCTGCCATGTTCCCCCCTCTCCACTCGCCGGAATGCTGAGTAGTGGCCGCTGTGCGCCCCCCCGTGGTGCACCACCACAGCCACCAGGCGGTACCAGCACCCCCCTGCACAACCAGCCGCCACGGCCCCCCATGATGGGTGCGCAGAGGGGCGTGCGGACACAGAGGCAGGAGGGGCAGGTGAGAAGAGGGAGGAGCGCAGCTGTGTGGAGGCCATGAGGGGAGTCCCCCAAGAAGCACATGGCGTTGACTGGGGCTGCCCCGAATAAGGTGGGCCCCCCTCCATACTGCTCTCCACAGCTCCACTCACGGCCTTGATCGTTTGAGGCAAGTCAAAACTCTCCGGATCCGCGTGGCTGCTGTTACTGCTGTTGTTGTTGCTGCTGCTGGAGCTGCTGCTGCTGTTACCGCTGTAACTGCTTTTGCTGTTACTGCTGTTACTGCTGCTGCTGGCGCTGATAATTCTGTTGCCAGGGTTGCTAATCGTTTCTGTGGCATGGCATGACTGCTTCCCGCGCATGTCAGCACGGCCCTGCAGCTCATGCGCGCTGCCCTGTGACAGCCCTGCATGTGAGGTGACAGCACAATCTGACGACACTGAGCTGTGTAAGTGGGGTACGCTATCAGGCGAGGCTTGGTGATGTGCTGCCTGTGCAGTGGCAGCTGCCTCGTGCTGCTGAGGCGCAGGCGGCTCGCCGTGCACACTACTACCCACGACAGCGCCCTCGCTCCCCACAACAGCACTAGTCGTTGGCGTGCCTGAGGGTAATCTGCACGCGCTGGTGGCAGCAGCGCTGGTGGCAGCAGCGCTGGCACTGACTGTGGCAGGCGTGGCAGGGCGAGTGCATGGCATGGCAATTACGCTGCCTTGTGCAGTGTGCTGAGCTGGGGCAGCAGGTGCAGGAGGAGGAGGAGATGTGATGGCATGGCATGTGGAAGGTGGGCATGTGGCCCAGAGGAAGGGGAAGTGCAGAGCGGGAACGCGAGGGGCTTGCGTGCCTTGTGGTGGGAGGAGGTGCGGTGAGGAGGGCGAGAAGGATGAGGGGGAACAAGCGACCTTGGTGGGTAGCACGACGGACAGGAGCGATGGTTGGAAGGTGAGAGGCAGGGACGAAAACAACAAGGGGTCTGGTGGGACAGGGTGGGCAAGGGGCAGAGCTGGAGTAAGGGGCGCTGCAGAAGGAGGATGGGAGGAGAGGGGCGGCTTTGGGTGAGGGGCGGAGAAGGAGGTGTATGCTAGGAGGGAGAATGGAGAGAGGTCGAGGAGAAGGGGGAACGGGATGTGATCCTGCAGTGACATACACATACAGGAATGCATTCATGCATGCACACATGCACACACATGCACACACATGCACACACATGCACACACATGCACACACATGCACACACATGCACACACATGCACACACATGCACACGCATGCACACACATGCACACGCATGCACACACATGCACACACATGCAAAGGCACAGACAACCACACATAGGAACACAGGGAGAGAGTGGAGACAGCAAATGAAAGTATAGAAAAACCCAAGTGGCAATAGCCCTCGAACATTGTAAAGCGTGCACCACAAAAGTGCCGCGACACTTCACATGGACGCCATGCGCTCATGCCAGTCAAGCTCACGCGTGGCATTGCGGTGCCGGCCTAGCCCACCCACCGCGATGTCGCAACTCACTTGCGCCTTGTGCAGCGCACCCCAGGGGGAGAACGCCACTCGCTGCAGCTGAATACACGCCACCTGCACGTGGCAATGCGGGGGGGGGGAGGGGGGGTGAGGGGGATGCAAACAGGGATGAGGGGGTTGCGAGAGGCTTGGCGCTACAAATGAGTGAGGAGGGGGGAGGAGCAGGGAGATGGCGGACTGGCACGGGACGGAACAGGGAGGATGTCTGAAGGTCACGTGGTGGGAGGGGAGGAGGAGATGAGTAGGTGAGGTGAAAGGGGTGGGAGGGACACGAGAAAAAGATGCCAATTTATCGCTCATGCCTATCCCCATTCAGTGCCCATCCCGAAACCCATCCCAATGCCCATCCCAACGCTTCTCCCACCACCCATCCCCATGGCAGCCCCAAGGCCCCAGGGCTCAAACCTTCGGCAGGCGCGCCAGCAGCAGGCGCTTGAGCGCGGGGCGGTGCACCGAGGGCCATGCGAGGGCGGGCAGCAGCGCGCGCAGACGAGCGGCGCAGCGACAGGCAGCGCTGTCAGGGGTGGCGCACGCAAGGAGTGCTGAGAGGAGCGCCTGGGGGGGGAGAGTTAGGGATAAGGAGGATCGGGGAGAGGGAGGAGAGGAGAGGGAGGAGGCGAGAAGGAGAGCAGCAGGAAGGAGGACAAGAGGGGGGACGTGGGAGGGAGAGACAGGAGAGGATGAGGTGAAGAGATGGAGAGAGGGATAGAGAGAGGGAGGGGGGAGAGAGGCGGGTGGAGAAGAATGGGGAAGGAAGCGAGGGAGGGGCATGCCACGGCGGAGCATCACTCGGACAAGGGTTGAGAGCCGCGGGAGGAATCCAAGGTTGGGTGAAGAAAGGTCAAGCAAGTGGCGGAAGGGGTTAGTCTGGGAAGGATTAATAGTGAAGAGCACGCGTGCATGGCATGTGATGGTGCACTGCTGCTCGCTAACCTGATCCCACCACTCGCGCACCTCCAGTTCTTCGTGCTGCCACCTCGCCCGCCTGCTCGACTCTTCCTCCCTCCCATCGCTGTGCGCTGCTGCCCCACTGTCTTGTGCAGCTGATGCCACACAGGGAGAGGATGAGGGCAGTTCAGGCGGGTTGAAGGGGAGTGGCCCTGTATGTGCTTGGGCGCTTGACTGGCTGCTGTCCACGCCATGGGGATGGCCATGCCCCTCGCTGTCTGCCTGGGGGTGTCCCTCTGACTGAACGCCCAACACTGCATCACCATTGGCATCGGCAACAGCAGCAGAACCAGCATGCGCAGCATGAGGAGCCCTAGCAGCGTGAGCATGAGGAGCATTGTGGCGCGTTCCCTCATACCCTCGCCCACCTCGAGGCCTCAGCTTCTGCACTGCCATCGCAGACCTCACCATCCCCGCAGCTGCCACATGGCAGCATCTGGGGCATGCCACGTCAGACACCTGCTCTGGTGCGGTGTAGTTTTGGAGCAGGGAGGTGAGAGTCGTGGCGCGCTGAGAGGGGGGGAGGGAGGGAGAGGAGGGGAAAGCATGAAGACGGTGCAGACGAGAGAGAGGCTTGTTGTGCCTGGCGCTTCCTGGCTACGTTGTTCAGCACCCAAGTGCCACAGCGGGATGCAGCGCGGTGGAGCATGCATCGGCAGCGAATGCCATAGCTGGCAGAGGGAGCAACGGCGCAGCAGAGGCAGAGCAGGCGTACCAGGGAGCCCAGGGGGAGTGGCAGCGAGATGTCGGTGCATGGCTGCACGGTGCAGGCAAACTGCGCACAGGGGAGTAATGGGACGGACATGGAGGTGAAGAAGTGATTCTGAGATGCAAGGGAGGGATGTGGGAGAAGAGAAACAAGGATATGCAGTAGAGAGACGGAGGGCAGACACCTTCCCCTGCACCATCCCCCCACACTGCTACCCACACGCACACCTTGTCCTTCCCCCACCCTCTAGTCACCTGGTAGCCACAGGCGAGGCAGGCGAGCAGGCTGACCGCCGTGCCGGAGAGCGGCCACTGCAGCACCGCCTGCCACGGCACCTCGCCCGGAGGCAGGGCACATGCATGCTGGTGAGCGGAGGCATGAGAGGAGTGATGGGAGGAGGGATGGGAGGAGGGATGGGAGGAGGGATGGGAGGAGGGATGGGAGGAGGGATGGGAGGAGGAGGGATGGGAGGAGGGATGGGAGGAGGAGGGATGGGAGGAGGGATGGGAGGAGGGATGGGAGGAGGAGCAAGGGTCATTAAGGTTGTGTTGACAGGAGCACAGCGGGTGTTGATGCCCTCGTTGCACCCACTCCGGCCCGTCTGCTGCTGCAGCACTGCTGTCCCCTGCCCTGCCTTGCTGCACCACTGCACCCACACGCAAACTGCTCTGCTGCCAGCCCTCACCCACGCCTGCCTCGCCCCCCCTGCCTGCCATGCCTGCCTGCTCCACTGGCTGCTCTGACCACGTGCAGCCACCCTGCGCGCATGCCACACATGCACTGGGTGCCGGCTGCTGCAAGCAACGTTCACCCATGCACCTCCCACCCTCCCTTCCTCCCTCCTCTCCACCCATCCCCCTGCCCACACTCTCCCCTTGCTCCTCTCCCCCCCTTCGCCCAACCCCGCCTGCCCCCTCTCCGCCACTGCTCCCTGCCCCTCCAACCGTGCCCCTCCACACGCCATGCACGCGCCAGCGCCCCCCACCTGCGTCCTCTGGGTGCGCCCCTGCCGTGGGCCCCTGGTCCCCCAGCACGGCGCGCAGGCCAGGCAGGTGTGCAGCGCAGGAGAGGCGCAGGTGGCGGCGCAGGGGGGCGAGGTCGGTGGCGAGGGCCATGGCGAGGAGCGAGAGCAGCTCCATGCAGTCCTGGGGGCCGGGGGGCAAGGGGGCAAGGGGACGAGGCAGGGCGAGGGGGGGCGGGGAAGGGGGGAGAGGAGGAGGGAGAAAGGGAGAGGTGAGCGGGGAGAAGGAGGGGAGAAGAGCCAGGAAGGAGAGGGCAAGATGGGAGCAGGGATGGAAAGTTGACCCCGTGTAGTGCCACTGCAAGGAGGATGGCTGGACAGGTGCCAGAGAAGGGGGGGAGGGAGGGGGAAAAGACAGGGGGGGTAGAAGAGAAGGAGAGCGGGAGGGTTTAGTGTAGGGTACAGGTACACGTGGGGGCACACAGAGGAGCAGCAAGCAAGCACTTGAGCACTTCACGGCAAGACAGAAGGGCATGCAAGTGGGCGGCACACCTGCTGGTGGTGGAAGTTGAAGCGGGAGTCATGGGGCGAGAGAGCGCGGAGAAAAGCACGCGAGCTAGCCACCTGGCGCTCTGTGATTGGCTCAGAAAGCTCTGGGCGAGGGAGGGAGGGAGTTGAAGACATGGTGGGAGGTGAGGGGAGAAGGGAGAGGAGGAGGCGAGGAAGGCAGGGGAGGGACGGGGAGCAGAGAGAGAAGGACGCACGGGAGACGATGGGCGCAGAAAGGACGGGTGGGGATGCAGCTGCGGAACAAGTGCGATGGCGGAGACCAGCACCACACTGCACAGCGCGGCGAGGAGAGGCGCGGGGAGGGGAGGGGAGGAGACAGGAGAGGGGAGGAGAGGAGAGGAGAGGAGGGGGGAGGAGAGGAGAGGAGAGGGGAGGAGAGGGGAGGGGAGGAGAGGAGAACGGAGAGGAGAGGAGAGGAGTGGAGAGAAGTGAGGAGAGGGGAGCAGAGGAGAGGGGAGGAGAGAGAAGAGGAGAGGAGAGGATAGGCGATACGCACCTTGGAGCAGCGAGGCAAGGGCAGTGGCGAGAGGCAGGTCCAAGGCAGAGGCGGTGGCGGGGAGAGCAGGAGCTGCGGGGTGGTCGCGGTGCGGTGCTAGAGTGAGCGCCGTGCGCAGGAAGGCACGCACTGCTGCACTGCTGGCTAGCGACTGATGCACGCACGCACACATGCACCCATGCACCCATGCACCCATGCACCCATGCACGGATGCACGCATGCAAGCAGGCACGCATGCACACACACAGGCACACATGCATGCACACATGCACACCCATGCACACCCATGCACACCCATGCACACATGAACACATATGCACACATGCACTCAACACGGGAAAATACACCCACATGAGTGTGCACATACCCGCACACGCACAAGGAAGTTGAAAGGCGGTGGAGCGACAGAAAGGGGGACAAGGGGAGAGTGGGAAATGGAGGCAGGCCGGCGACCCAGCACGCCTAGATTCGCTCTGCCTCACGCGCCACGCCACTGCTGTGCCGCATCGCCTACCACGCCATGTCCATGCCATGACGTGCCATGCCATGCCATGCCACGACTGCAACTCATTCCACATCATGCCCACCACGCACCCACGTACTTCCCTCTTCGCAATGCGCATCCCTCCTCCCTTAGCGGGTGCACCTGCAGGATCGCGTTCATGTAGCACAGGTTCGACGGGTTCTGCAGCCCCGCTATAGTCCACGCCCTTCGAGCCGTCGCGTTATAAGCCCCTCCCTCCACGTCATCGTCGCCATCCGCTGCAGCCGTGCGATCGCCACGACCCTCTCCATCCAACGGCTTGGATCGAATCAGCGCCCACAGGGCAGCGACCGCCCCTACGGCAGCGGCGGCGGCGGCAACGGCGACAGTGGCGGATGGCCTCCTGTCAAATTCCCTAGACAGCATCGCAGCGAGCTGGTGGCGTGCGACTGGGGCTTCGATGCTTGTGCTGGATCACAGACACCTGATTGATACTGAAGCCAGTTCAACGTGCAAATTAGGGGGTGTCATCAGAGTTCACGGTATAATGCGTTGCTGCGCGTCTTGAAACGAGTAACTTCATGACACGCGTCTTGTGTGCCAAGTCGCTCCGTTTGAGAGTTCCTCAGCTCATAGCGTATGGGTAGTTGACAGTTACGTGAAACAAAAGGTACCCATATGTTTTGTTCCATTTCATCCCATTCTCAACATCCAAGCATGTTATTTGCGATAATATGTCATTATTTCAAGTCGCGCTTCTTTTCCCACATTCTCCTCAGAACCACTTCTTAACTTCAAATTTACGTGTTTGTTTCAGGTTACTGTTGGAAATTATAAAAAGAATTAGGACATCTCAGGAGTCTCGCGTAGGTGTACGAATACGCGAATACTACAACAACGAGGATCACCGAGTCAAATCCTGCTACAGTACCACTGACAGTTGACGCAGGCTGATGACACCTCGCAGAGGTTACGAAAGGGCAATGGTCGTAGGCCGTTGACCGTGCAACTCTATAGTCAGAAGTCAAGTTAGTGCAACAGCAAGGACAAATAACCATCCCGGTATTACAGCACGGGTGGTTACCCGAGTCGCCCTTATCGATTCGTAAAAAGGAATGTACCCCTCAAAGTGCATAATCAGTTAGACTCTTCGTGTCGAACTACGAGCAGTCTTCAGCACCTGCACAGTCGACACATAACAACATCAGTGGCGAAGCACCAATGTGTCTTAGCGGCTCATCGTACACAAGAGGCACTCGGCCTACACAGCACCAACCTTACCAGCCCTCGCCAGGCTCGTTTACCTTTCTGCCAACTCCCGCACAAGCGACAAACAATCCGACATCGTCATCATGCAACAACAGTTTAACATCTTAAAACTGCAGACATCTTCACTATTCAACGGCAAGGACTTCTTTACCTAGAGCTTCGAGTTCGAACTGCTGATGGACGCCACGCAAATCCTCGGCTTCTTTCCCTGTAAACGGGACTACTCAAGAGAAGAAAATCTACACTTATCAATCGTTGATGGCTTTCACCATCCTATTGCGCAATCTAACATCAAACGGAGCAACAAAGCATTCGCGCGTATCGCAACTTCGGCAACTCCGTTGAACTTTCCTACTGTTATCTGAAGAGCGTCTACCAAGCCTTTGACAGCATGACTCAGAGTTGACTGATGGCACAACTCACAACGATTCAGATGCAAGCAGGAGAAAAAGGCGATGGCATACATCAATCGTTGCAGGGGATTACGCGACAGCCTCTTACGAAGCAGAGGGCACTTATCGGAGAACTTCTTCATCACGGTTGTTCTCGCCGACCTTGGTCCTCAGTGGCGTACGACGCGCTCCCTTCTACGCGCTCATGGGAGGATCTCCGAGATGCACTTGTGCGCGGAGCTCCACGCTGAGAAGCAAGACATGGACCTGTACGAAGAGCGCCACGCAAAGAAATAACATCAACAACTTGCATTTTAAGCACACGGGCGCAGCAACCATGCAAATCAGAAACGACACTCACCTTCTTTCTGTCATCTATGCCGCACATCTGGCCATGCGCGCTTCAACTGCCAAAGGCAATAGCATCGCCAATAGCAGCAGCAGCAGCCGCCGCAATTCCCGCAGTATCAGCCCCGAGCGCCAGGTCCGTCTCCGAATCCGGTCGCTCCAACACAGCAGCGCCCACCAGCCCCGACGAACCGATCTGCACAAGGTGCACGCAAAATCGTAAGCTACATGGTGCGAACATACTTTTGCGTACCCGACTCCCCAGCTCAGTGTGATCTCGACGAACAACCCCCCGCTCCGATACAGACCCGGCTCCAATCGAACCCGACTTATACTGCTATAGCTCGCAACGAACCGCCCGGCCGCGACACTTGGTTTCTTGATAGCTGCCATGGCCAGCACATGTGCTCCTCAGTGCGTTTTGTCCAGCGAGAGAAGACTCTGAGCAGAGAAGTCGTGATCACCGTCGCCATCAACCAGAACCTGCGCACTCGCAAAGAGGGCGTTGTACAGTTACAATCTCTCAAGACAAGCGTGGTGCTATAAATGTCAAGAGTACTTGTCTTTGACAATTTCGGTTACAACCTGCTACGCGTCAGACAGCTAATGTCGAAGGGTATTCACTTGGAGTGCGATAGCTTCGATCGGGAGTTTCGCCTCTACCACGAGAAGGGAAGTCTCTTCATCGGCAGAGCAATCCAGAAGCACGGAGTCTTCGTCTTGGACTTCGTTCCAGATCGCGGGACTGCCGACAGTGATGGCATCGTCTCCTTCACGTCTTGGACACACCCGCCGGATCTGGACTCCAGTTTTGACCGCTACGGCTTTTGGTACTCCCACACGATACGTGAAGCAGAGAGCATACGTGCATTAGCTATGATGCGCGAAGCAGAGGAACAGGAAACATCACTATCACACGCAACCGAACAACAAGCGCCGATACGAATACTTCCTGCAAGTCCCATCACTGGAACCTCGTCGGCACCACCCGTCGAAGAAGTTCAGCCTGATACGCTGCCCATCGACGCACCACAACTGACCAAAGCAGTGCAGCTGAAAGCGCATCCTCGCGAGCAGCATCGAAGTGCCACGACCGTTTCTGCTTTCTGCCCCAACTCAGATCTGTACCGACGATCTGTGGAACACAAAGCAAGCGAAGAGATCTGGCTTCAAAGGTTAGGTCACCCTGGTAACTCAAGACTCTTCGACACCATTCGTGCAAACGTCCTCGACAAGGACGCTCTCCTACTCCTCGATGGCCGCGAATTACGACCACCTCAACGCACCAGCTTTATCTGTCCCAAAGCAGATCTTCCTCGTTGACCGTTCCCGTCGCATCACAACCCAAGCGCACCTGAGTATACTCCTCTCAAAAAAGTATACAGTGACATACTGTATATCCCGCGCGAAGTCGGCCGGGCCTACCTCAACTACGTCATCACCTTCGTCGATGCCGCCACGCGTTACAGCTGGCATCTTAAAGCCCGACCTGCAGGTTGCAAGTCCTCTTTTATCAAGATGCTGCACCTTGAGGCCCTGGTAATCGAGCAGCTCGAATCAAACTACCAAATGCTCGCAAAGGATAACAACTAGGCAGGGCTGGGGGCCTCTCGGAACCTGGCAGTGCAAGCAAAACTGCCGAGTTCTTTGAGGGAAAAGATGGGAGGGGCTGGGTGGGGGGTAGAAATCTGAATTTGTATTTTGCAGTGTGGGTGGGAATTGCGAAACAAAAATGTGATTCGTAATTTTTTGGTCTCACTGTACTGAACTGTGTATGCGTCAAACAAACGCCAGTTAGTTTTTCCGAAACCGGTCAGGTCAAAGTGTTGGTTGTGATCGAAACAGCCAACCAGTTCTCGCCCTGAAAACTTGGCAGAGGTGGCGAGGTGGCTCTCTGCGAGATTGTGAGCTGCAAAATTGGCAGCCCTGCCAAGTTTCCAGCCCTGCTAGCTCATGCTAAACAAACACTGACTCTGCCAAGCCCAGTCTTCGTCAGCTATTTCATTTCCAAAATCTTTCGTCGTCCAATCAGGTTCTGCCGCCCCACATACCTAAAAAGTACAAATATGCAACCTTTCGGGCGGGCTTTAACGTGCCATCACGCGACCTCACCTTTTGTGCCTTCGTCGCATGGCTTGCTGCAGCAGAATGTGAGGGAGATGTAATGCAAAAAAAAAATCAGTCAGACGGGGCGATGGAATACCAGTCACAGTGCTTTAATGACTACCTTGCCGAGAGAGGCATCAAAAGACGTCACTCTCCCCTACGCTCACCCACAAAACGGTGTAGTAGAGAGGATGAACAGGACCCTCCAGAACACCATGAGGAAGTTGCTGACGGCATGCGTCTGCCCAACTCGTAGTGACCGGAGGCAATGAATCACGTTATCATGCTGCAGAATGTTCTGTCGTCAAGCTCCTTGCCAAACAACGCATCACCGCATCTGATGTGGACAGGGAAGCAGGGCAGCATAAAATTGTTACGGGTTTTTGGCTGCATGGTACAGTGCCGACCGCACACTGCACGAGCTGGACGTTTTTTGCAGAGAGCAAAATGGGGTCGACACCGCGGTGTGGAAAAACATTACTAAGCCAAGAAAATCTTCGACGTGGAGGACAATGAAACAGTACCGGCACGTGATGTGATGTTCTACAAGAATCTCACCCTCAACCATTATCTCGAGAACATTGCCACCAATCCGGATCCATCTGGTGGTTTCGCTGGCGCACGGGCGTTCGCCTCGATAGACGAAGAAGCTGACCTGGACGAGCCGAACATCCCAGACGCTTCAGCAGCTGCGGGACCACTCCCCTAATACTTAGTCCACATGCTGATGGACGACGACAACCCTCGTGAAAGCACGAACGCAGAGGCATATTACCATTTCGCCGACACTCGTTACGTAACACCCTACAGCATCGACACCCTACAGCATCGACATGTTTCAGAAAAAGTTGGATTAGGTTCCATACCTGATCCTGAAGTGGGAGACGAAGCAGACTATCCTGAGGATCTGACCATCCCCCACTACACCGAGACCAGTCTACAGATACTTGAACTCATAGCAGCCCTGCATCCCCCGTCCTTGCCGCCACCAGTCGAGGAGCCGAAGATTGTCAAGAACGCGCTGGAAGGACCACACAGAGAAGAATGTCGGGAGGCAATGGATCGAGAATTAGCGGCACTGCACGAGAGAAACACTTGGAAGTTAATTCCAATTTCTCAAACAACGGGAAAGACCATCCTCTCCGGGAAATGGGTCATCCGCGTGAAGACCAATGCGGATGGGATTATTGAGTAGTTCAAAGCCCGTTGGGTGCTCCACGGTTTTGACCAACAGCACGGCCGCGACTACACTAAGACCTTCGCTCCGGTCAGTCACCACACTTCTCTCTGGATTCCTTGCCAAAGCCACCACCCGCCGGCTCCCTCTTTGACATATCAATGTCGCCACGGCGTTTCTCTATGCCCCGGTCGATGCTGACATCTTTGTCGAGCAG